TATGTCATCTGAAGATAGCCAGTTTCTTTCTATTCAGGGTCCAGCACTTGTACGAGTAACTCAGGAGTCCATGGGATTATAAAGAGTTAATCCAAAGAGTTTTACATCCTTAGGACAAATGATTGGTCTTCAGCACTGAAAAACCTTTCACTTTTCGCAGCCTTTTAAATCATGATGAGTTTTTAAAAAGGTTATCAGTGGTCTAGATTTACAGCTGGCACGTTGCAGGTGTTTACCGACAAATGCTCACTCAGGATTCACTCAGAAAAATCCACTTTCCAAATGAAAAGAATATTACACAAAAGCAAACATTACCACTGGCAAAGTAAAGATCACCTCTTTGTCTCATTCACTGAGTGAATCAAATCTCCCTTACCCTAAATCAATAGAGGAAGGGAATGGATTCCCTTAAAAAAAAAGAAAATTAAATAAAACAGACTTATTCCTCCAGAGCTCTTATTCTGTTATCAGCTTTATGCTGTTGTGAATGAATTTATTCCTCAGAGCACTTGTACAGTCATTTTGGGGATTTAAAGCTTTTCACTCTAGCTACTTCTCAATGCCTCTGTTTTCCAATATGAATCTAGGAAAACTTCCAAATAAGATAATTCTTGCTTAGGTTTACACTTTATTGCCTTGATTATGCTATTTAGGGAAAAAAAAAAAACACAACAACACCCCAGTCTTTTTATATCTCTTTTGCAACATTTTTTACTACTTTCCCCCATCACTCAAATAGCTTCTTTGATTGGACTTGTATCTTTAATTTCCTTCTCTATTGCTTTATTATTTCTTACTCTTCTTCTTTTCCTGTAATATCAGTATGTCTTTGTATCACATACTTTCTATTTAAAGAAACAGCTTTACTAGTTTCCTTTTTACTTCAGGTGCTGTTTGCATTTCTGAGTTTTCTGTATATGAAACTTTTCCCATTAGAAAAGCCTCACTTGCTCCATGCCTGTTCTTCTTCTGGCTCCCTTCCTTTGGCTTCTGTCACAGCAGTTTGTGGCTCAAGCATCTGACTTTTGTAACTAAACTGACCACTCAGATAAATTTCTTCTTTAACCTTTGCATCAGCATTTTAGCATTGCCCTTAATTCATTGCTACTTAAGTTGACTTCTTAGAGCCAGAAAGTTCACATGCAGTACCCGTTCTGATGCAGTACCCAGCTCTGATGTCAGCCCTTCTGCACAAAAGTTTCAGCATCTCGGAGGTTTGTATGCCACATACACTTTGATTTCTTATTTTCTGGTGCATCTCCCAGTCTTTACCTTCTTTACCTCTAACTCAACTCTTTTTTTTCAAGCTATATGCTCCGCTAAGGTCGTCTTGACAGCAGGAACCGAAGCTTTGGTATGATGCATTGACTGTGCCACAACCACTGAAAAAGCCAGATTTAGTACTTCAAATTCTGTTAAAATAAGCGTCTTTTATGGAAACAAGAAAAAGGTCAAGAAATAGTCTCTCTTGGAGATTCTGAGAGATTCTCCTCTCTATATAAACCCTACTATAAAAAACTACTACAGCATCATATTTCCTAATAATCACCATCTCTGACATGATGTTTTGAAGAATGATATCCAGAGATTTCCTTGTGAAAAAAAATTACATACTACAGTCATGTTGAAATAATATCTAGGGAGCTGAACAATATAGTTCTTCAATGTATTCAGGTTTTCATTTTTGAATATCAGAATACATACAGATGTCTTTATTTGTAATCATTGTTTTATGATTAGTAAATATGAAAAGTAGTTTAACTAAAGTAGAAAACATATTTATACATGCACAAATTAGTATTAATGGGAATTGTAGGTCCAAAGCAAGGACTACCTTCTGAAGGAAACTGGGAAATGCACAGTATATTTTGTATACTTTAACTCTAAATTAATGTTGGCAATGACTAAGGAAAGTGGTTGTATATCCTTCTCAAAGAGCTCCCGTTTAAAAGAGACCTTACAGCACCGCTGAGAATCTTTGTTTTAATGAATGAATCAACGTGATTGTTTGTTTATTTATTTATTTATTTCCTCTTGATGTACATTGAGTCTGTCTTTATTTCTTTGTTTACTGAGAACTGAGCCGTCCAGGACAAAATTAATTAGTAGCAAACTTCCTTTCTAGGTGTGTTCTCTCTAGAGACGAGAAACCTCTAATTTTCCGTATATTTCGGATAAGTTTCAATATCAATTTTGGTATATGTTGCTGGAATACTTTTTATAGCAGAACTCGATTTACTTTGAAGGGTCCTTTCTTCTCCTCAAATTTTCTTCCAGCGTCTTTTCTCTGAAGTTCTCCCTTGTATGTTGCTTTCACTCGTGCGTTACCTTCTTTCAAGTTCTACCAAGTTCCAGCTCTACATGTTTCAGCTTTCCACAATATTTGCACACTTAAGCTTATATGTACCAGAAAAGAGGGAAAAAAACCAAACCATTGTACATAATGCAATGGTCTCTAGGATCTGAAAGTGTGTAAAGATAAACATAATGCATAACTGCTCAGACATTAATTCTTAGTTTAGAATCACTTACTCTTTAATTCTTAACTTCAAGATTTGTACAACTTGTACACAGCATTAGTAAAATACCTGTCCTATAATGTTACTGTCAGAGAGATAAGAAGTAGGATCTGTCTTTCATAGCAAATATAAGTTTTGTATGTATCATACTGTATTTTCTGTTTCTAAAATGGCTGTTTATCCTCTGACTGCACAACTGTGACATCCAAGTGTGTTGTGATGGAAGTACAACAGTCCTAATCATGATTTTTATCAGCTAGATTTCCAGGGAAAAAAACTTTGGAAAAAAAATTGCAACAAGTCAAATTGTGTCTTAATTGTTTTTATACACTCCTAAAAAGACTGAAAGTCAAAATTCAGACAGTGCTATGATATTTCATTTTGTATCTTTTTCTGCCAAGAACATTTATTTACAGCAGCAATATAGTGGGAGGTTATTACGTGAGATTTTCTTTACTTCAAAAAGCTTGCAGTTAGGATGAAACACAGCAAGATAGATACAATGTACAGACAGTGTAGGAAGGAGAAAAGGTAAAGGATAACTGTGCGGTCATATTTCCAAAAGTGTGAATCTTCACTATTTGGCAGTTTTGAAATACATAAAAAAAGAAAGGCTTAATTTCAGTCACTTCTTGCTATCAGCCTAGTAATTTAAAAGACACTGATTTATTAAAAGTGCATATGTATGTCACTGCTGTTCGTAACAAAGAAAAACAGAGAAATTTATAGAAGATAGGTATCAGATTTTTATTTCAATAGAAGACCTGTCAAAATACACCATATAGTGTCAGCAGTTCTCTTCTGAGTGTTAGGTTGTATCGTTGCTCTTCATGTCAAATTGTCATAACATGCCTGTCATTGCCTCTTGCAATTAACCTTAAAACCAAGTCTGAGAATTACACAAGGAACAAAGTTTAAACAGAATCCTCACATTTAGCAGTACTGTCCAACAGCAATCATTCTGTCTTGGTGTTGATGAAATCATCTGTGTATGAAGAGTCCTTCAGTGATGCATAATAGCTGGATTTCTCTTCATTTACCAAACCCTTTGGCAGTAGCTTATTGTCACAGCCAGGTCTCTGATAATTTACTGATACTAAATTCCCTAGAAAGTACGAGGTGTTTTTTTCTATGGTTTACAGCTGTACTATGTTCTACTATAGCTGAGGATCTACTTTTTCTTCCATCTTGCATAATCTTTACAAGGAATCCTTGCAGTAAATGTAGAAGTTGGAGGTTGGCACTTTAAATCACAATAGTGTGTTTCATATTCAACGTTCACAATGAAATGTAGGGCACTGGAACAGGCTCCCCAGGGAAGTGGTCATGGCACCAAGCCTGTCAGAGTTCAAGGAGGGTCTGGATGATGCTCTTAGTCATATGGTTTAGTTTTAGATAGTCCAGTGAGGAGGAGGGAGTTGGGCTTGATGATCCTTACGGAGCTCTTCCAACTTGAGATACTCTGTGATTCTATGATTTCTGTTGGCTTATACCACATGTCTGAAACCTGCATCTACATTCTTCTTTACTTCTTTCCTCTATCCTATAATTTCTCAGTTCAGGATGCATTTTTCGGGGGAGAGGGACCATTTACTATTCTGTTTATAGGAGGACAACCTGTTGTTGACATTCTGTGGATATAGTGGATTTGTATGTGAATAGATTTTATACACCTCTACAAGGAACCACTTCTGATATTTTTCTTTTGATTTTCTTTCTCTGGGAGTAAAGCATAAATAGGGAAGGTTTATTGCTGTTTCCTTCCCTATTTAATTTGTAATCCTATACTCTCATCCTTGCTCATGTTAATTATTTTTCCTTTCCAATAAATCACAGAACTAGTACTACATTCTCTTACTTTTTCAATGTCTGTCCCCTGTGCTTCTTCCAGAAAGCTGACAAACTTTCACACTGGAAATCCCTTTTTCCCCAACCAGAACTGCCCGTTTTCATTTCACGCACCTCATAGGCAGCCCCTTATTCTGTATACCACTTTCTACCTCTTGTTATTTCAATGGTCAATGTCATATCAGGGATGGAAAGATTTGGGGGTGTTAAGTATTTCTGAGGTCCCAACCATACATGCTAAGGGGTGAATTTGGACACTTCATCTTGATAGGTCAAATAATATAGGCAGTTTCTGTAAATGACATGGTCTTAAGTTATTAAATTATTATTAAATATAGTTTTATGTTAATGATGATACCAGTAGCAGAATATCAGAAAGGACTTTTTAACTGACAAGACTAAGTGCCATCTCAACCCATCATGATTCTGTGACATAATCAGTACTGCTACATCAGTCTTTGAATATACATGTCTCAGAAAACTGTATTTTCTACCTTGCTGCAATACTGCTTCTGTAATCTTCAGTGCTCTTTGTTTACTGCGTTTTTCCCAACACTGTGATAACTGCAAGTCTGTGACATTTTTTGTGTCTATTTCTGCATTCCAACTCACCTGTCTGATTTCTCCTTTAAGGTAAATAATTACAGTTTAGAAGAAGTTACCCATGAAGAGGCAGTAGCAATACTGAAGAACACATCAGATGTAGTGTATCTGAAAGTTGGAAAACCCACCACCATTTACATGACCGATCCATATGGCCCACCAGATATTACTCACTGTAAGTGACTTCTGCAACTCATTTTGTAGGAGGTATCGGTTTGTCAGATGATTGTGATTTTTTAAAGCTTGTCCAAAGTACCTCATTAAAGTTTATGAAACAGCTTGGACCACTACAAAAATGAAATGTTTATTGCCACTTAAGTATGCTACACTCATGAAATATTACAAATAATCTAACTCTGCTAAGGTATTTTTGCAGCAAAAGTAGTTGTTGTACAGCTGTGCTGATTCCAATTAGACATTGTCCAGGTGATCAGACTGAACTGTAACTGTTGTGACAATTGCAGTAATAAGTACATGCAAATATATTTTGAAATATCATTAGATTTGTAGACTGGAGTCCTCTGTCCACTGAAAAATTGGAATAAGCAGCAAACCATCTTGTGCAAACTTAACGAAACGCCTGAGGCAAATATATATCATATTTGAATAAAATATTTACTCAGAATGTAAAAGTCACTGCTCTACTTACAAAAATTTACCTATTTTCTGTGTACGTCCAATTCATAGAATCATGGAATGGTTTGGTGGGAAGGCACCTTAAAGACCGTCCAATTCCAACCCCCCTGCCATGGGCAGGAACACCTTCCACCAGACCAGGTTGCTCAAAGCCCCGTCCAGCATGACCTTGAACACTTCCAGGGATGGGGCATCCACAGCTTCTGTGGGCAACCTGTGCCACTGCCTCACCACCCTCACTGGGAAGAATTCCTAAATTATTGTTCCACTTCACAAGTCTGTCCATTAACTTTATATATGTTCATCTGCTATTTTTTCACTGAGGACCAAGGCCTTATTTGTCCTTGCATTCAGAGTACACTCTGTTGTAGGAAAAGTTGTTAAAACAATATAGTAAAGCTTAATGAAGCATCTCATAGGAAGGGAAGATGATTTTATTTTAAAACAGACTGATTTCAATCAGGCTGTCATGTCCATGCGCTCAAAATCATCTAGGCTCATGTCCAGCATTCAGGTAGAAAGATGTGCATCCAGGTGCATCACTAGGACTCCCTGAGATGACCAAGTACAAGAGTGGGTGGCTGTGGAGTCCTTATCATAAACCTATACCTTCTTATGTTGAAAACCTCCTTGCTGATGTGCTTTTTGTACCCTTAAGGAGATGACAGCAATTAGGATCTTCTGTCTCTCCCAACTGTCTCACTTCTTTTTGTCTCCTTATCTGAGTGTACTAGGCTCCAATCTAGTCTTTATCTCCTGCTGTCATCTCTTAATGGCTTGAGTCTTTGTTTTAGTCTGGGTGTAGGCTGTCTTAAGAAGTTATGTGTAGTTATGTTGAGTATTGATGACCTCTTGATAAATCTAGGTGCTATCAATACATGCCATTCTTATACCCCTCCTGCCAGTCCCTCCTGGTGTCCATACCCAGGCATTCCCATTCCCTTTTCATTCGCAGCAATCTTAACATTTCAGTTGCAGCTCTCTACAACTGGTACCTGTTAATCTAAACAGTTCATTACTAAGACTCCCTTCCTTCATTTAGTTGTTCATTTAAAACTGTCTGCCTTGGATTCAACTACCAACAGGGACCCGCTGCACCATCTAACAACTGGATGACAGTTCAGTTTTTGACAAGAACTTCAGCAACTGATCCATAACAATCTTCACCTTCTGCCAATAATTCCTAGGGGCCCTTAAGGCCAACCAAGGTCTAGGAAAGGCCAATTTTCCCAGTAAATGCTAGAGATTTAAATGTTTCTGCACTTTTGAATAGTGTTGCCACTGTGGAATGACAAAGTTGGGGGAGAAGCTAAATACCCATAATCCTCCTTATTCAGACTGCTCCATAAAAATAGAAGGGAAGGTTTTGTAACATGCATGTCAGGTGGTATACTCAACTGTGCTGAGGATACCTATTTAGTTAGCAAATGTTACAACAGATGGCAATCATGTTGTTCAGTAGCAGTCTGGTCTGGATCTTAGCAAAGCCTAAGAAGTAAAAATGCTAAATGTGCCTATCCGATCTCTTGCTTTGTGATACTTTCCAAAATAATAAATTGTGAATTCTAGAACAGTGTGTTTTATTATGTCAGATTATAGATCAGCAGGATATGAGAAGACAGAAGTAATTCCAGAGGGAGAGTAAAGGTTTAAAAGATTTGCAGTAGCCCATCCCAGGCTGTTGGTGCATACAAATTCATTTATCCTCAGGGAACCTTTCATTGTACCTACATGTTCAGAACGGGTAATGGCCTTTCCCTGTAGAGATATTTTGCTGTGAAACATTCTGGATCTCAGCATCTGAAAGAAAGACTGAAACTAATAGTAGAAAGTTTAACTGTCATCTTCTCATGAGAAAATTAATCATAGCTCATTGCAGAAGCACGTATCATTGTTTTTCCTATTTATCATTTCCTTTTCTAATTACATTAACTAGAGATTGAATATAACTATTGTTACATCTCTCCAGTCATAAACATCCTCACTAACTTCAGAACAGCAAAAAGCAAGCAAACAACAAAACCCACAGACTCAATATAGAATCAGACAGCATAGTCCTGTAATTTTCATTATTAATCATTATCAAGCAATTTGCATCAACATTTTATTTTAAAAATACAGATTTACTGTGATCTAAATACCATCTATGTTGCTACTGAAATTTCAATTATTTTGGGAATTTTGGCACCTTCAGTAGATTGCAGCTTTAAATCTTCATATGTAATTCTTGCCATACGTAAAATTCCTGCTCTTATCCTCCGTTGAGCTCTTACTGTATTATTCCCGTTGCTGTATATTGGAGCCAAAAGAAGTAGTGTGCTTTTAATCTCATTCTCTCCTGTTTACATTCCCTTCTTCAAGTCACTCCTCATTGAAGAAAATGTTTCCTGTCTCCCAAATTATCATTTCTTATTCAAATCTCCTCTAAAGAGTCAATCCCTGCAAATGAGTCAGCATTATTATTGTTGTTATTATTATTATTATTATTACTAATATTATTATTATTATTATTAACCTTTCAGGAAAACTCCAGCTGTTCATTCTTTCTTGTTACATTTTAAACTTTCTCAGGCAAGGATTGTCTGTTTTGATGTTATTTACAACAATGAGCACATTCTTGGTACTTAAGTAAGAAATGGTGCTCTTATGGTGTCTAATCAAACATGAAAGTGGCTAACTAGAAATGCTTATTCTTACCATCAGCTTATTCTCCACCAATGGAAAATCATATACTGTCTTCTGGAAACAATGGCACTTTAGAGTACAAGGCATCCCTGGCCCCTATCTCACCGGGAAGATACTCACCCATTCCAAAGCACATGCTTGTGGAGGACGACTACACCAGGTCAGATGCTTCTCTTTATTTGTTACCTTTCATGACAATTACAAAGGACATAGGTAAAGCATTCAGTGCATCTCAAATAGAATACGACACCCATGTTGAAGGGAAGATGAATTGAAACTGTTAGAGTATGAAGACAACTAAGAGAAAGATCACACAAATGAGTGCTGACCTGATGTCCATGCTGTCCGGGTGCAATCCTGCAGTAGTTCCTAAACAACATGACTGCATTAGAACAATTCTGGCACTGAGCAAAATTTTATGCTGCTTAAGACAGCTAGGACATCTCAGGATCAGTGACTCATCTGGCTCACTGCGTGTATAGGTGGAGGGACTGTATGTGCACTTGTACCTGTCCGTGACAGTATGCTGTGAAAGGTCCAGCTTGTTCGGTTTAGTGAAAACGAGGCTGAAATTGCTCTGTGTGCACACATTGAAAGATAAATGTTATAAAGAGAAAACACTATGGGAAAAGAAAAAAAAAATTATAAACTGAGTGTGAACAAATATAGGAGGGAAACTGGAAAAATTTTCTTAACCATGACAGCAATCATAATATGAAACAGTTTTCTGTGAGAACATAGAGGTTAAAAGGAAACTGTTTATGCGGTGGCACTTGATACCTTTATAAAAGGGGTTCTTCGATGTGATTATCAGCAAAACTACACTGGAAATTGCTTCTAATCCTTTTGGTTTTTTACTAATCGCAAAAGAATTGCGACTACTATGTGGAAATATGGTGGCAGAATGGTATCTATGTAGTTGATTTCCAGGTAGAAGAGACACATAGGAAAATGCTGGGAGGATTCTTTTATGCCTTGTCTTAGATCAACACTGAATGTCACTCATGAGACAGTGTGTATTTATCTTTTTGTTCGAAGAGCACTACCATTCACTTAGAAGACAGCAGTTGTTTAAGTTTGTAAAATCGAGCCCTCATTATTACATCTAGTGCCACAGAAAATAAGAAATTAATTTTTTTTCTATTCCTCACTATTTATAAATTCATTATGTTTAAAGCTAGGAGGGGGCTGTTCTGATCATCTAACCTGACCTACTATTTATCTCAAGCCAAAGATTCTTATGTACTTAGGTATTCATCAGCTTCATAACTTGCTAATTTGCATTTCATTTTTCTTGTTGCGTATGATTACGAACTCAAGCTGCTTAACTTGTTGGATCAGACAGATTCAGAGTAACTAAATCATGACACAGTGTTTAATCAGGACATAAATGTATGGAATATGGAAACCACACCTTGCTTCCCTGTCTTGGCTAAGAGAATTTGTGCTTTGTTTTGATTGAGGATGCAAAGCTGACATTGCTTTCCTTCAGTGTATGAGACATTCAGTTAAGATGTATTTTCTCCAAAGCATTCCAAGAAGTTACATTTTGAAATTAATAGTTAAAACATTGATTTCATTAAACTGTGCGCTAAGGCTTTACCTGGGCTACTGCTGGCCTTATAATTTCTAAAATGCCTATGTGTAGGAGGAATACCACTATAGTATCTGGGTTACAATGATGAAGGCTTTGTCAATAAGCTTGTAGTGTTGAATTCCCTCCTTCTGTAATGAGATTTCATCACCATTATTACTGAGAAAGAGTTGACAAAGTTTAAAAACAGAAAATAAATGCAACCTTAAAAGTAGATAATAGCTAAGGAGACCAAGAAGTCAGAGAAAGTTAAGGAAGTAATTGTAAAAAAAGAGAAAAGCTGTCCTGAGAATTAAAAGACCATTTAAAGAGTTAGAATGCCTGTAAAGCAATGAAGAAGTATCTTTAGACAGTCATGTTTCTTTGTGTTCAATGTAGCTGATTTCAACTTTATAATTACTTCTACCAAAAAAAACAAGCAAAAAAAAGAAAAGAAAAAGAAAAAAGAAAAAATAGTCATAGAAGGGAAGGCAATGACAGTCCTAGCCTGTTAATTCATCCAATATCCTGTAGAAAGCATACTTGCTCAAAGAACCGTGCAGGATATATATTTAAATTAATTAGTATGCTTTTTTGATCCTTTTAGGAAGAAAGATGTATTCCTGTCCTGATATCTTTGGTTTGTTTTTAAACAAGTTAATTAAGCTGATTTAGCTCCTAACAGTGAAACCAAATACTGATGCAATCTGGTTCTTGACTGAGGTATTCACACCAACATCCATTTTGTATTATTTGGGGAAAAAAAATGAATGCCCAAAGAAGCCGTGTATATTTTGTGAAATACTTCTCTCCTGTGTTGTTCTTTCTGTCTGGATTTCCAGATTAGTGTGTTGCCTAATGAAGGGCTGATATCCAAAGTCTTCTGTGACATTGGCACTACTGTCAGGAGAGGCTGACTCTACCAGCATGACCTTCCGTGGAATCCGTGTGGTGCTGGCAGAAATAAAGGTGTCGAGTAATAGGAGCAGACTCTGAATGCAGCAGACCAAATTAGATGAAAATCCTCTAGTTCTAGAAAAGTACTTACTTCAACCTATTGGAAAGGAGGAGGCTATTATGGACTTAATTATATTAGTGATAATAGCTTATGAGCTACACTAATACCAAGGATACAAAAGCACAAAGATAAAACAAATGTAGTCATAAGAAAAATGGCACTTCTTGCCATTGCATTTCCTCATGGACATACATCATACAGCAGTATCTGAGAGACACCCGAACAAGAGCCAGAGACCAGGTTTCTCCTCTGACTACAATGACTAAGAAGCTCTGACCTTCAAAACCAAACCATTTAACCCTTGAATGATGCTGAGCCCTTTTTTAATTTTTTTTTGAATGTCCATGTAGCTAATTATTTTCTATTGATACAAGTGGGACTATTGAAAATGCCACAGTTAATTCTCACAGTGATTTTCACAGCTATAAACTGAGAATAGTGAACGTACTCTTTCTGTGCAATGCCATAGGATTTGCTGATGAGTCTGCCATTAAAATAAGAAGATATTTGGAAAGTCTTTATTGTTGACCAGTTTAGAAAGACTTAAAATCTTTTGGGAAGTTAATTATCTTACTGATAATTTTAGTGGAACCTATAGATCCCTTGATTACAGCATTTATAATTAGGTTTCCTCACATAATTTTTTTATAATTAAGATGATTGCCAACTACTGCAGCGCTATCCATTAAAACTACCTGGTTCTTGCTATAATAGGTATTCTGGGCTCATTTACATGGTGATCACAGAAGGAAATTTATTCCAGGTGCAGTTATATTATGGCAACAGTTCTGGCAGATTTTTATTTGTGCCATCTAAAAATATTTGGAACAGTAACTTTTCCACTCTAAGAGGCTTTTTCAGTTTCATAGTTCTTTGTACATGTGATTTGAGTGAGGCTGGTGACAAGTTTGCTTTTAATTTGCTATAATGAATCTATCAGTAAAGCTTAAATGGTTGAACATTCAACTCAATTTGTCCACTTCTTCTTGCTTTTCTTTTTTGTTCCAGTTCTAAGTTTGGGTTTTTTTACCTAAATACTTGTTTTTGCCTAACAAAAATAAGTGTTTCTGTTGATGAAAACTTGTGGGTTTTGGTCTGATATTGAATCTGCATCTGAAAAAAATTCAGTGCAAACTTGACTTAATAAAATTGCAGGGAAAAAATAACTTACTCTGAGCACAAGGAATAGAAAAGTAACAAATCATCTTCAGCCATAAGTTTTAATGAAACTCGAGGTTGTCTTTTAATTACTGAGCTTTTGTCAGTTGTGTATATTATTGGTCCAAAATGCTGTCAGTGATGGGCATAATTTACTTTTTGTTTCATTGGATTCATTTTAAATTGACTCAGGATGTAAGCTTTTCCTTCCTGTATTTTTTATAAAGATTGTCATCTTTTAAAATTTAAGTAAAATAACACAACTTTGGGTTAGTAGAATGTGGGAACAAAAGTGGATAAAAGCTATGTGTCAAGTAACTCTATCGATACAACCATCATCATTCTGCAAGTAAGTCCTTATTTGGTTTAGTTTCTAGCAGGATAAAAGTGTTGTGCAGGCAATTCAGGAGGTTCCTTGATTGTGTTGCTGACAATCTCCTAGTGCTGCTAGAGGGGAGAAACAGGAATAGTTCTCTGCCTGACCTGCTGCTTACGTAAAGGGAAGAACTAGCGGCAAAGGTGGTGATAAATAACAGCTGGGATCAGAGTGACCATGAGTTGGTTCAGTTCATGATTCAAAGGAAGTCTGGAAAGACAGTCAGCACGTTATGATTGTAGATTTCAGAAGAGCAGACTTCAGCCTTTTTAGACAATTGCTAAGCAGAATCTCTTGGGATGCTGCCACAGAGGAACAGGGTCCATGAAAGATGGATGATTTCTAAATAAAACATATTGAGAACTCAGGAATGAACCATCCTGTTGATAAGGAAGGAGGAGGATGCAGCAGAAGGCCTTCTTGGCTGACCAGAGCGCTCTCTGATGACCTAAAATGCAAGATGTAGACAAGCATTGTTTGACTGCTTAATCATGAAATCAGCAAGCTGATTGGTTTGAGCTAAGATTTACAAGGGTAATAAAGGAAAAAAAAAGTGATTCTGCAGGTGTGCTACTTTCAAAAATGTTAATCATGAAATCAGCAAGCTGATTGGTTTGAGCTAAGACTTACAAGGGTAATAAAGGAAAAAGTGATTCTGCAGGTGTGCTACTTTCAAAAATGAAGGTGAAATTTGACGAAGGGAAAAACTGATGAATGAGAGGAAAGACAATGTAATGACAGACAATACAGAAAAAGCTGAAGTACTCAACATCATCTTTGCCAGGCATTTAAGGGACCAGAAGGTAAGTGGAATAGTCAGCACAGATTTACCAAAAGCAAATTGTGTGCTTGTCAAGCCTGGTTGCCTTTCCTGATGAAATGACTAGCTGCGCGGGTGAGGGGAGAGCAGTGGCTGCCCTACACCAACCAGTGCCACAGCACAGCAGCTACCTTGACTCTTTGCTGGGTGAAAACACAGCTGACTCCAAAGGCGTACCTGACCCATGCCATAACTCCCACAGATCTGTGTCTGGG